TGCGACCTGTGTGTTTTATATTTCTGTGCTCTCTTCCACCTCTTAGACAATGCTTTCATAATTCTCTTCGCTGTCTTCTCTTTCAGAATGTTGAACACAACATTCTTGGCCAATGAGAGACAGATCACAGACATAGCTTTCTGATCCAAACTTGCCCAATTCGCACCCGACATCTTTTCTATCTTGTCACATAAAACCACGTCCAAATCTTTCTGAACCAGCGAATCTTCAACTTGCATTCTCCACCAACTGAAATCAGTAACATCGAACTTCTCAATTTGGAACTTCCCATCTTTTGCCATATCACACAACTAGACGAGATTCCCCGGTATAACTAATTTTATATCTTGGTAATTTTTCAAAAAATCAGTTCCACCACTCCAATTAATTTAGTCCAAACCAAAACAAGCCCAAAACACCAAAATTAAATTGGCCCACTTTTTTCTTTCTTTCTTTATTCGTACCTGCCATTTTTTTTCCTTTTATTTCTTTTTCCTTCGGCCTGCACCTTCTCGATACGGTGACAATTTGTGGACGACGACGGTGCCCAATAGACAGTGATTTGTCTTGGACTGGCGGCGGCTCGACGACAGCTGGGTCAGCGGCTGCGCCTTCTCTACGGCGGCGACTCCATCTCCTTGGCACGACGGCAGCGACTACTCCCTCTCCTTGGCACGATGGCGCGTAGATCTCCAGCGGTCGGTTTAGGAGGGCACCGGCTTTCTCTCAGTAGACATGATCCAAATGTGCAAAACTCTAGGTGACAACTTCTCATTATTCGTGTTGTCGTGTTGAACAATCTCGCACTGATACCACTTGTTGCAATCGCATTTCCCCTCACCCTAACCGCGTATTAGTATGATATTGTTCGCTTTGGGTTAAGTCCTCACAGATTTGTTTTTGGCACTTTTCAAAAGGCCTCATACTAATGGGTTGGGTTGGACATATATATTTTGGCCCATTTTTCTCTCATCATCTGGTGTGACACTATATGTATTTGCATCCCAACAAACCTCCTCTCAAACTAAAACCACACAACTTCGTGACCTCACCTTCAGCAATTATCAATTTGATCTGCACACCATCTTGCACCGCCGCCACGCACCTTTGGGACACGCCGCCCGACCTCTTCATGTCGGGAAGACTTTCGAAATAAGGTATATATACCGCAGACCGCCAATCCGCTAATGTCACACCATTTGATATGTCAAATCATCTTGTACCGGCGTTAACACCAAATGGGACACGTCGCCCGACCACCAAATGAGTATTGTTTAACTATGAAACCGCGCGCGTAGTAAAGTTGGTGCGTGACTGCATGCAAACTTTATGTAAAAAAAGAGTAGTGTACTGCTATGGAACCATATGCGTGCATAGTAATGTTGGTGCATGTCTTGATGCAAGCTTTATGTCAAATCAAGATAAATAAATGAGTACTGTACTGCTATGGAACCACATGCGTAATAAAATTGGTGCGTGGTTCCATGCATTCTTTATGTCAAATCATATTGAATAAATAGATTCACTAAATCGAGACATTTAATACGTGATTGATTGTCTAATTAGTATACTACTTATACGCCAAACATTTTATACCTCTCATTCTAATTTGGTCCACGTTCGAAAAATGTCTCAAAACATTCAAAGAGTATGTGGAAAGTGCTTGCCGAGATTGACAATAGTCGAACCACTTAGATGCTTATGTTACGAGCCGTTCGTGTCTACTTTATTCCGTCTTGGACAAGAGTAGGAGATTCGATGGAAGTGATCTTTCATGATGAACATGTATTGTATTCACAATTTTTTTAATATTTGATTATATGTTATTATTATAATTTAATTTTATCATTTTCTTTCATCAATACTTTCCGTAATTATATAGTTTATAATTAGGGCTTACAACGCATGGGTACGAGTCCAATATACTATAAAATCCATCAAAATCTATCACCAAATGAATTCTTTGGAAATCCATTAATTTTTCAATACCATTACATTTAGGACATTTTAAGATTTTAATTGAATACATCTAGATTTTAAACTACTTTTTAAAATCTTAATTGAATATTCAGAGACTTTTAAAATCCATAAAATTACTTCACAATCTACATCCAATACACCCCCCTAGGGGTGTATTCAACTTAGATTTTAAAAGATTATGCTAGATTTTTTATAATTCATAGATTGTGTAAGATTTATGGATTATCATAATTCTATGTAGACTTCAATGTATTTCAATCTATTTTAGGCAGCTGATATTGGCGCTCCATTAAAGTTAGTGGCGCTCCACCTTAATTTTTTCTTGTTATAAGTTTACCATCTTGCCCTTATACTAATATACTGTATACGGAGTAATTGGCTAATTGCTATGGCTATTGCCCTAAAAAATTGCTATTCGCAAACGGAGTAATTTTTTTAAAAACATACTCATTCTCTCATTCTCCCATGATGTGATAGATAGGGTAAGAATTAGCAAGGATAAAAGTGGTTTTTTAATAGAAAAAGGGAAAGAGTTTGTGTGACAAAAAAAGGAAGAGTTTAAGGGACGAAGGGAATATATTTTATACATATGAAATTTTATATTTTTCTAATTATCCATTTTTAAACTTATAAAAAAAATAATGTAAAGTCTGATGCTCCATATTGATAGGATAAACGTATTTATAAAAAATTAAATTTTAAAGTATAATTATATATGTATAGAAATTATGCATATACATATACAAATATATATGATGCATTAAAAAGTATATATATGTATGTATAAAAAGACTAAAGTAGGAGTATGTACATGCATTAATTTTTTTATAGGTTTTTGTTTTTATTTATGGACTTTTGTTGTACATGTAAAAAAAGAATAAAATAGGAATAAAACATTGAAAATATATCAAAATAGTGTTAGACAAGTGTGCAACTCTAGAGGGGGGTGAATAGAGTTGTTTTCAAGAATGTGCGTTTTTCACGTGTGTGAAATAATAAAATCGCAGGAATAAATAAAAGGAGTAAGGGAAAGAAGAACACCGAGATTTATGCTGGTTCACCACCTCGTGGCTAGTCCAGTCCTCCGAGAGACTCTCTCGAAAGTCCTACTAATCTTCAAGCTTCAACGGGTGCTTGAAAAACCGGTACAACTTGAGAACTTGAATCACACAAGCCTCACTTTCTTACAACAACAAGACTTGAGTCACACAAGTCTTAAGAACAACACTCAAATGAGATTGAGTTTACAACACAAGAATGAAAGCTCACACAATTGAGCAAAGTAGTGTTGAAGNTAAAAGGAGTAAGGGAAAGAAGAACACCGAGATTTATGCTGGTTCACCACCTCGTGGCTAGTCCAGTCCTCCGAGAGACTCTCTCGAAAGTCCTACTAATCTTCAAGCTTCAACGGGTGCTTGAAAAACCGGTACAACTTGAGAACTTGAATCACACAAGCCTCACTTTCTTACAACAACAAGACTTGAGTCACACAAGTCTTAAGAACAACACTCAAATGAGATTGAGTTTACAACACAAGAATGAAAGCTCACACAATTGAGCAAAGTAGTGTTGAAGGATTAAAGCTCTTTGAATGATAACTTCTTTAGCACTAAAAAAAAATATTTCTAACTCTCAAAAATAATATTTTGATGAGGAAGATGAAGCAAGGGATGAATATGGCTCAATGAATATTTTAAATGCAAGAGTGAAGTCCAGAGAAAAAGGAGAATGAGGGATTAAATAGACTGAGTGAAAATAAATCCGTTGGAGCAGGCTGAGAGTATGCACCAGATAAAATTAATCGATTAACATTAAAGGTTAAATCGATTATGGTACACAGAGGCGAAAAAGCCTGAGAATCAGAGCAAAAGATAATCGATTAAATTAGGTACAAAAATCGATTAGTCGGCTCTGTCCGAACTAATCGATTAAACCAAGAAGGTTAATCGATTAATGATCAAAAGAGAGGAATCCAACGAAGAGCCTATTAATCGATTAAAGTGAAGCAACAAATCGATTAAGCGGCTCTGTCCAAACTAATCGATTTTCAGAAAAGAAATAATCGATTAAATATTATGACCTGAGAAATTGCGCTGAGAAGCAAATGGATCTAATCGATTATCTTAGAGGATATAATCGATTAAAAAAGAAAATAATGTGCAAACACAAAGGGCCCAAGCCAAGTGCGATTGGAAGCAGTTTGGCTTCTAACTCGTTGTTTGGGACAACGAGAATATCAATGGACGCTCTTCAGATAATATCTCCCTATTCAATGAATTTGAGTAGGGGAGAAAAAAAGGAGTCCAAAAATTATTTTGTGTGTCAAACGATGTACACGAAAAATATTTAAAGTATATTTTTCTTACCACAAAAAAAATTTGTGTAAACCAAAAAAAATGTTTTTGAGAAATTTTGACACACTATTTTGAAACTGACTCGGTAAAATATTTTTATACAGAGAAAAAATAATTTTTCAACTGACTCAGAAAATAATAATTTTTATCCCTCAAAATTAATTTGTTTATGCAGAAGGTGTTTCATCCTTACAAAAATTCCTAGACTCAAATAAAAATTAAAAAGTTTTCGGAGTCTTCACTTCTCTTAAAAAAAAGTCTTGCGTAGGGATAAACGTTGATTTTTATCTTGATACGCCTCTTTGCTTTTCTCGATACGAAAAATAAATTTCGATCAGCTTGAATTTAATCATCCTGTTTGTCATTCATCAAAACAAAAAAATATTCCAAAAAAAGATAATAAATGGGTTTGAACTCATGTCCAACAATTTCCCCCTTTTTGATAATGACAAACATAGTTGAGAAAAAGCAAAGTAAAAGTTCAAGAAATACTTCCCTTAAGGAAATTCCCCCTGCATCGTTAGAGAAGTACAGTAAAAAAATATCGGAGTAATAAGCGGAAAAACGTTTTTGAAAAACAAGTTTTCTCAACTATCCTTCCTTCCCCCTTTTGGCATTATCAGACGATATCCTTCCCCCTTAATCAATGCCGGGATATTGAAGGAAAAAAATGCAAGAGTTTTCTTAAAAAGAGAATTTTTAACAAGAATTGCCACAAAGGTACAAAATGTTCTAAGGGAGAACCATATTGCCAAACCAACAATCAAGTGCATAAATAGCAACATCATCATCCACCAAAAGAGTTATAATAGCAAATAACAATGTATCATAATAAGTTTAAGACAGAAGAGAAAATACTCAAAGAGAGTTCGCCGGACGAGCTCCTCTGCTGAGGCTGTGACGTGGGCCACGGTAGGAGCGGGAATGCTCGAAACGAGTCATCCTCTCGTTGAGCTGGCGAACATCGTCTCGAATGCATGTGAGAGTATCAAAGATCCTCTTCACCCAAGAAGGTTCTGGTGCTTCTTCTCTCGGACGAGTCTTGCGTTGACGAGTGACGCGTTCCGTGGTTCGACTTCCTCCGTCCTGAGATGACTCAGCTTTTGTCTCTCTCTCCACTTCGTCTGGAATGACCAATTCCAGATTTTGCTCGTTTTCCTTGCGGTAGACAATCCGAGTGAACTTTGCTTCCGTGATAAAACAAGTCTTCTTCACCGGCACCTGAGTGTCCCGAGTAAAATCCACTTTGCTACGAGCAAGGATACGCATGATCGGGATGGCAAAACGGAGATGGGAAAAACGAGTACCATTACTAAGTGCAACGACAAAGATGTGAACCCAATCAAATTTGACATTGTTCAACAGGACGTGAAACAAACGAATATCGTCTTTGTTGACAACGCCATGGTTCGAATCACGAGGCAACAAAACATAGGAGAAGATGTATTGTTGAACACGTTGAATCAAAGTGAGGTTGATGACACTCGGGTTGCTAGAGTTTCTAAACTTGAGGTCATGAGAATCTAACCCGAGTTGTCGCCAAATTTCCTCATCTTGGAATGTTTCATCCAAGTTTTCGGTAATTTCACCTCGGCGAAGGCCAAAAAGAGAGGGCAAACCAGCACTATCAATTTCAATGTTTTTGCCGTCAACACAGGAAACGAGAGATGGCGAGTCTCCCTTAGTGGTACGAATATTTGCATAAAATTGACGTATAAGATTTGGACAAAAGAATTCATACGTCAAGTGAATGAAATGCAGCAAACCTTGCTGAGCTAAAAGAGACTTACTCGGGGCATAGGTCGCCGATTTGAAGAGGTCCTTGTCCACAATCTTTGGTGAAACGATTTCCTTCGTGAGAAAGTTGTTGTGGAACCTCTCAACTGATGCTCCCGTCCTGAAGACAAGCCCGGTTTGAATGTGGAAGTATTTGGTTCCTTCCTTACGCCATGGACGTTCTTCTTCCTCCGTCGCCGCCGCTGTTTCCTGACGCGAGGCAATGTTCTTGGTCCTTGGCATCTTCCCTCTTTGAAAAAGATGAAATTTGGTGAGAAAATGGAAGAAATTTGTGAAATTTCTGATGAAGTTTGAGAAAATCGGAGAAGTGAAAGAGCTAGGGTTTGGAGCTTCTGCGATTTGTAAAAGAGGATATGGCGAAGAAGACGAAGTCAAGGCTGATTTAATAAACCAAAATTCGTATAATAATCGATTAATCAAAGTGATTTAATCGATTAAGGAAGACAGCCGAGACTAATCGATTATATATAACTTATTAATCGATTAAAGATGAGGCAGAACCAAAGGAGTTTGCGCTGAAGGCTAATAATCGATTAAACAAGGGCTATTAATCGATTAGGATAGACAGACGCGTCTAATCGATTTCTCTTTGAGGAGTAATCGATTAATATGATTGAAACGCTGTAGAAATTAATCGATTGAAAAGGAGGCTGTTAATCGATTAAGTTTGACAGAGGAAGCTAATCGATTCCTCTTTGAGGAGTAATCGATTAAAACAAATTTGACAGAAAAAAACATCAGGTCCAAATCAGTTTGATGCCACGGGCCAAGATACCTGAAAGGCCCTGCAAAAAAAATTATAGCGCCTCCGACGCTCAAATTAGTATAATCAATAACAAGAATGAATTAGTTCATAGAGATATCCAAAATGCCAAGTTCGTTCCGAATGTGGAAGAAACTCTCCCTACTAAGGGGTTTCGTGAAAATGTCCTCCAATTGATGTTTCGTTTCAACAAACTCAATTGTGACATCTCCCTTTTGAACGTGATCTCGTATGAAGTGATGCCTAATTTCTATGTGTTTAGTCCTCGAGTGAAGAACGGGGTTCTTCGTTAGACTAATGGCGCTCATATTGTCACACCTAATTGGGATGTGATCAAGTATAAGGCCGAAATCCACTAGTTGCTGTTTTAGCCAAAGAATTTGGGCACAACAACTTCCCGCAGCGACATATTCCGCTTCGGTGGTGGATAGTGCAACACTAACCTGTTTCTTACTAAACCACGAGATTAACGAATGACCGAATAAGTGGGAAGTACCGCTGGTACTTTTCCTATCGAGTTTGCAACCTGCAAAATCCGAGTCGGAGTAGGCAACAAGATGACATGTCGAACCTTTGGGATACCAAAGACCTACGTTCAACGTGCCCGCGAGATATCGCATTATCCTTTTGATCGCAACCAAGTGCGACTCTTTAGGACATGATTGATATCTAGCGCATATACAAACGGAGTACATGATATCTGGTCTACTCGCGGTAAGATAAAGTAAAGAGCCGATCATACCTCGGTAGCGCTTGATGTCTACCTCTTTACCTTTTTCATCCTTGTCGAGATAGCAAGAGGTGCTCATCGGTGTGTCAATGGATTTGGATTTGGTAACATCGAATCTCTTAAGCAATTCCCTGCAATATTTCGATTGACACACGAATGTCCCTTCTTTGCATTGTCTAATTTGTAGCCCAAGGAAGAACTTTAATTCTCCCATCATTAACATTTCAAATTCACTTTGCATCATATCGGAAAAATCCCTGCACAAAACCTCGTTAGTAGCACCGAATATGATATCATCTACGTAAACTTGAACCAAAAGGATGTCTTGGTTATCTTTCTTGATGAAAAGAGTAGTGTCAACTTGACCCCGTTTGAACTCATGGTCCAAAAGAAATTTGCTTAACCGTTCATACCAAGCACGAGGTGCTTGTTTGAGACCGTAAAGCGCCTTTTTGAGTTTGAAGACATGTTCGGGAAACTCATAGTCTTCGAAACCCGGGGGTTGTTCGACATACACTTCCTCTTGAATGATACCTTAAGGAAGGCACTTTTAACATCCATTTGATAAAGTTTAAAATCCATCGTAGATGCAAATGCAAGTAATAAACGAATAGCTTCTAAACGTGCAACCGGTGCATAAGTTTCTTCATAATCAATGCCTTCTTCTTGATTGTAGCCTTTAGCTACAAGCCTAGCTTTGTTTCTAGTGATTACTCCATTTTCATCGAGTTTGTTACGAAACACCCATTTTGTGCCAATAACGGAATGATCATTAGGTCTAGGCACCAATTCCCAAACATCATTGTGTTTAAATTGGTTAAGCTCCTCTTGCATTGCCATAGACCAATGTTCATCATTAATAGCATCCAAAACGGTTGTTGGTTCAATTTG